AACCATTTAATGTTTTTTTAAAACAACTTTATTGAGGTATAGCTGATATACCACACACTGCTGATATACCATAAACTGCATGTATGTGTAGAATTTGATGCCTTGGCATATAGTATATATACCAGTGAAACCATGGACACAAAGAAGTTTGCATCATCCCCAAAAGTTTTCTCATATCTTTTTGTAATCCGTCCCTCTTTTCAACACTACTGGTAGGCAACCACTGAAATGGTTTAAGCCATTATAAATTATCAACATTTTCCAGAATTCTACATAAATCAAATTCAAAATGTTCATCAGACTTCTCTACTCCCCAAGCCAACAACCTTATACTCCCTAGAATCTACATCTACTTCCTTCCTTCCACCCATTACCTACTCAGTAGACTCTGGCTCTCTCCCAGTATCATCCTATTAAAGGGAATTAATCACCAGTGGCCTTCTAATTGCAAAACACAATAGCCCGTATGCAGTACATTCTACTAGACTATCCCACAGTACTTGAAATCATTATTATGCTGTTCTAAAAAACAAAACAAAAACACATTTCCTCCTCCTCAGTCAATTATAACCTCCATTTCTTGGTCTTTTTTAACAGCTCCTCTTCTGTCTTCTAAGGTGTTCTCAAGTCTAAAGTCTCATTTGCAGTTCTAGGCTATCATAGCAATGGTTGTTATAGCAACAGAAGCAAACATTTATTGTGCTGTTTTTATGTGGTAAGCACTTTGTTAGGAGCTTCATATAAACTCATAGATTCCTCATAACAGTTCTATGAAGTAATAATGTTACCCCATTTCAAATACACACAAAATTAGACAGAATAACATAACTGAACCTCCATGAACCCATCTCTCAGCTTTAATAATTACCAACATTTTGCCAATCTTGATTTATTAATCCCCACATACATATTTTTACCTAATGCAGTACATTAGAGCGAAGTGTAGAATTCATGCATAAGTACTTCAATATAGATCTTTAACAGGTGCTTACTGTTCTCCAGTAAACTCTATTTTATAATTATGCTGTGTGGCAATAGTAGATACACTCCTCTATTAAATGGCAGATTCCCTGTTGCCAGAAAGACAAAATCCAAATTCTATAGCATTCCTTATATTCTCTGGCATATAAGAGTCCTCAAATATAGATCCAAGCTACCTTTCCTGCTTTGCCATCCATCATTTTTCTGTACTATGCCCTAGCCAGTTTGGAGTATCTAACATTCCTTGAACATGGCTTGCAGTTTCATGCCTCTATACTTTTGCTTTTATGATGTAAAACATTCTATTAGGCCCTGTAGCTATCTGGCAGAATTCTAGGTATCCAGTTGACAGTTACTACCATAAAAGCTAATCCTGAAATTACAAAATGGGAAGTATAAACTTTCTAGAATCTTTTCCTCTTGAGCATATGTTTTATAAAAAATACTAAATTATCAAATATCTTTTGTCCTTTTCTTAATTTTATCTTACTCTCTTATTCTTCGATTCTTTATGCATGCTTGTAAGAAAGCTAATATTTTGGCAAGCCTAACGATTATGTAACATGACATTTCACCAAAAGATAATATTATGTCTCAAAAACTTTTGATTTCTAAAATTATAAAGCCAAAATAAGTTTTACCCTGAGTGTATGCTACAAAAATAAAGTCTTCAAAAAATGCAAAAGACAAAAACCTATCATTCTTAAAATCACTGAGCCTAAAATTAGTAGCCTACTTTTCCTACATAGTATCCTCTTAAACTGTACAACTTTAATACGCAGTCACAAAGATATGTAACTAAAGCATATTTTATAGTCATCCCAGCTTTTATTTCCTTTTTCAATGTTTACTTATTTATTTTTGAGAGAGAGTGTATGCATGCACATGCAAGCATGCACAAGCAGGGCAGGGACAGAGAGGAAAGAGAGAATCCCAAGGAGGCTCTGCACTGTCAGCACAGAGTCTGACATGGGGCCCAATCTCATGAACCATAAGATTATGACCTTGCTGAAATTAAGAGTCAGACACCTAATCGACTGAGCCACACAGGTGTTCCTCATCCCAGTTTTTCTTTAAGAATGTAGTATTTTACTACAAAGTATTCATAAAGAACAAAACAATTAAGCTTTGAGAGTTTTTTAAACTTTTATAGAAAGATATGTTTTACCACTTATTAACATTTCTGAATGCTATATTTGCTATCTAGTTCAGATATTATTCGGGGGGGCTGTTATGAGTTTTATTATTAGCATAAGTCAAATGCAACTAAAGACATACTAATAAGTCACCTTTTAATTTTCTTTAAATATGAATAGCTATAAAAAATTTATGACAAATAAAAGATACATAGGAATGCATTTTTTTATCACTTTAAGTGTGTGGAATCATTGAATGATTATATTTTACAAATACTAAAAAATTTTCACCATGGTTCCACAAAATATCACTGTCACATGAAATGCAATTGTTATCTCCATCTTTATTTCCATTTGTTAAATTTTTGAAGTTTAAGAATACAAATACAAGCTATTCAAAGGCATACAGTTATTTTATTAATAAATGCTACAATAACTTAACACTCTAGAACGAAGTTGGTATTACCTAAACACACAATCTCAGAAGTCATTAGTTGAAAATAAATTAAAAGAGTCTGATCAGACAAAATGAGCTCTAATGCTTAAGATTAGTTTAATTTGGTTTCTTCATTTTGATTAGCTCATGAAATCATTGCTAAGATTAATCACAAAGCAGCTTCGACCACAGTCTCTAAACACCTTTGTTGCAGGAAAAAGAATTTAGAAAACAGGTATGAGATTCTGAGCACCTTTCCTAAAGCTAAAATAGAATTCTGATTATCTGCTAGAGAAGTCTTATGGAGAAGCCTTGAGGCTATATGGAAAGTCTAGCTATTTTAGTGATCTGGCTGAAAAGAGCCTTCCAGCCTTGCCAGGATGCCAGACATGTGAGTAAGCCCCCCTGGACACTCCAACCAGCTGATCCTCCAGATGATTATAGCCACAAGTGACATCACATATACCAGAATAACTAAGTGTCCAGATGGCCCCAGTTAAGATACAAAATAATGAGATAAAATGGTGATTAATTTAATCCACTACATTTTGATGCACTTTGTTATACAATAGTAGATAATATTTTAAGGATATCATAGTTCATGTCTCACTCAACAAGGTTTTAAAGCCATTCATTGTTCATCAATTGTTGTCTTAATTACAAACATACAATAATTTCAATGACTATCATCTCCACAATGATCCTCAAACACTAGTATTGGAAACAAGGTGATGGGGTGGCCAAGATCACAAATGTTACCTAAAATAAATACAAAGTATGTAATATCACAGATTACAACTTTCCAATCATATATAAGATTTCTCATTTATTCAAATTCTAAATTTTTTATTATTTTAAATCAAGACAAAGTACATAAAATTCAAACAGAAATTATTTTCACAAAAGCATTCCCAATGAGTAGTGGTAGAGAAGGGACTCTGGCAATGTCTGCATTTTTCATTGCCACAACTTCTAGGGGGAAAATATTACTGACATTTAGTGAGTAGACGTCATATATGCTACCAAATATCTTATAATGCACAAGACCACCCCCCCACAATGAAAAATTACTGGCCCAAAATGTGAACAGTGCCAAGGATAAGATGCCCTGGCTGTGAGGAATTAAAACTTGAAGATACTGTCTTCTTATAATCATTAAAAACTATAAAAACTAACAAATATCATATGTTTGCACGTATAGGAGGATTAGGAGGAACTTGACGGAGGAACAAGGGGGAGAAGAAGGGCAGAAATGGTGGGGGAAAGGGAGAGAGGCAAACCATGAGAGACTCTTGAATGCTGACAAAAACTGAGGACTGATGGATGTGGGGGGAGGGGGGGATGGGCATGGAGGAGGACACTTGTGGGGATGAGCACTGAGTGTTATGTGGAAACTAATTTGACAATAAACTATTTGTAAAAAAAAAAAAAAAAAACAACTAATAAAAACGAACAAAATGAATGATCTTACTGGAAAAATGATGGTCAGAACTCTGAACAATTTTCTTTCTTAATAAAAATAGTATACAATAATTTTTATTATTTATCTGTACATGAAAACAAAATACATTAAATATTAAGCTAGAGAAAAATATAAAAGCTTCTAATATTAATGATATGAAAGAGTAAGCAAAAATGTTTTTGCAAACGTGCTCCTGAAGAACAATGTTCCTAAATGTATTATAAATGCCAACTAAAATATATTTTGTTTGATCAAATTAATATTAATTGGTAACAGAATAAATACATAAATTCTAGTTCATAAAAAGTCTTGTTTAAATTTACATTTTACAAGAATATCATCATCAACAAAGACATCTAGTTGAACATTATTTGAAAGTTTTTTCCATTTTGTATTTTACAAATAAATTTATCTAAATAATCCCATGGATCCAAGGACTACGACTATGAATAAGTCCATTTACTTTTTGTCAAATGCTTGAAGGTAAAAAATATTAAATGTCCTAAATAGGCTTTTGCAAAATAAGCTTTGCAGCTATGATCATACATGCATTTTCTGTCCCTTAAAAAAAAAAAAAAAAAGCACTATAAGGCACCTGGGTGGCTCAGTTGGTTAAACATCCAACTCTTGACTTCCGCTCAGGTCATGATCTCATGGTTCATGGGTTCAAGCTCCACATTTGAGCTCTGCAGACAGTACAGAGCCTGCTTGGCTGCTTGGGATTCTCTGTCTCCCTCTCTGCCTCTCCCCAGCCTGTATGCATGCTCTTTCACTCTCTCAAATATAAATAAACATTAAAAAGAAAGAAAGAAACATTTTAATGCTGCTGACACACGGCAGCGTCCTATATAGTTTTATAAAGGAAAGGATGAGTGCAGCTACTGTAAAAGATTAAAATATTGACAGGTAAGAATTGTTTTTACATCCAACAAACATACTAGGGAGGCTCCTACATTAGAAAAAGTAACAATAAACTTATCATTACCTTTACATTTGGCTTCTTTGTTGAAACGCCTCTGTACCAACCTAAAACAAAGCATACGAAGGATATTAAAATCACATTGTTGTCATTTCCTACAAGACACATAACATGAGTATTTTTAGGAAAAATTAATGCAAAACTTTCCCATATAGGCACAAGAAGATGCCTTTATTAGGAGTAATTTACTCTAAAAGGAAAAGTCTTACAATAAGAACATTTCCAATTTTCTTCAAAAGGCACAACTTTCAACTAAATAAAACACAAAAAATTTAAAAAGACCTCAAAGGACCTGAGGTCCTAAATATTTCTTGGTTTTCTAGATGTTGATGTTGACATCTCTGCTTCATTTATTCCCTCTCAGCATTCATACACAGCAATAATAATAAAGGTTTCCATTACACAATAAAAATAATTTTCAGAGAAATGAAATTTTATTACCAACTTTTTTTTTATTCTATTATGTTAGAGTTTTGTTACCCTTTCTCTTCTTGAGTTTAAAAAGGAAAATGACCAATTAGCGGTATTTAAAGGAGGAAGATGAAGAAAAGGAAATTCTTGATAACAGCTAATAATAATTGAGAATTTGTTGTTCTTAATTCATGTACTGGAATTGAGAGACTGTTCCATGTATTAACCTTTAAATCTAGCAACAAAGCTATGAGGAAAGTAATCAGCTTTCCTAAAATCTTAAAAAACAATAAAAGAAGAAATATTCATGTTTGTGTTTAGTACAACAACCGAGATTATAAATTTGAGTAACTCATTTTATACCTAGAGAGTTTCAATATCTTCATTTATTAATACACATCATAATATCTTAAGAAACAGAATAGAGAATGGTATCAGCAGGAATGGCAGAGTAAGGATCTCCAAAAAGCCTCTCCTCAATAAAAGCAGTTAAGAATCCATTTAAGTATTGTTGACTGTTTTCTTCGTCGTTCAGGTTTTTATAATTATGAGGTCCCAATAGTTCATTCTTGCTTTTATTTCCTTTGCCTCTCGAGACATGTCTAGTAGCAAGTTGCTGAGACCAAGGTCAAAGAAGTTGCTGCCTGCTTTCTCCTCGAGGATTTTGATGGCTTCCAATCTCACATTTAAGTCTTTCATCCATTTTGAATTTCTTGTTGTGTATGGTATAAGAGAGTGGTCCAGTTTCATTCTTCTGCACATCTCTGTCCAGTTTTCCCAACACCATTTGCTGGAGAGACTGTCATTTTTTTCTCCCCATTGGATACTCTTTCCTGCTTTGCCAAAGATTGGTTGACAATTCATTTGTATGTCCATCTCTGGGTTCGCTATCCTATTCAATTGATTTAGTGTCTGTGTTTATACCAATACCATACTGTCTTGATGATTACAGCCTTGTAAAGTCCAGAATTATGATCCCTCCAGCTTTGGATTCTTGGGGTGCTGTGTTTTTCTTTTGGTGTTTTCATTTGTATCTTTTTTCCTAAATAGTTTACTGTCAAGTGGGTTTCCATATAACACCCAGTGCGCATCCCAACATGTGCCTTATTCCGTGCCCATCACCCCCCATCCCCTCTTCTCCACCCCCATCAGCCCTCAGTTTGTACTCAGAATTCAAGAGGTTTGCCTCCTTCGCTCTCAGCAACTATCTTTCCCCTTATCCTCCCCCATGGACCTCTGTTAAGTTCCTCCTAATCCACCTATACATGCAAACATATGATATCTGTCCTTCTCTGCCTGACTTATTTCACTCAGCATAACACCCTCAAGTTCCATCCATGTTGCTACACATGGCCAGATTTCATTCTTTCTCATTGCCATGTAGCATTCGACCGTATATATAAACCACATCTTTTTGATCCATTCGTCAGTTGATGGACACTTAGGCTCTTTCCATGTTTTGGCTATTGTTGAGAGTGCTGCTGTGAACACTGGAGTACATGTGACCCAATGCATCAGCACTCCTGTATCCCTTGGGTAAATTCCTAGCAGTGCTATTGCTGGGTCATAGGGGAGTTCTATAGATCGGAAGATGAGGAACCTCCACACTGTTTTCGAGCGGAGCTCCACCAATTACATTCCCATCAACAGTGGAGGAGAGTGCCTGTTTCTCCACATCCTTGCCAGCATCTAGAGTCTCCTGATTTGCTCCTTTTAGACACTCTGACCAGCATGAAGTGGTATCTCAGTGTGGTTTTAATGAGTGACACTGAGCATCATTTCATGTGTCTGTTGGCCATCTGAATGTCCTCTGTGGAGAAGGGTCTGTTCATGTCTTCTGCCCATTTCTTCACTGGATTGATTCTTTTCAGGTGTGGAGTTTGGAGAGTTCCTTATAGATTTTGGATACTAGCCCTTTATCGGATATGTCATTTGCAACTATCTTTTCCCATTCCATCAGTTGCCTCTTAGTTTTATGGATTGTTTCCTTTGCCATGCTGAAGCTTTTGATCTTGATGAGGTCCCAGTAGTTCATTTTTGCTCTTGATTCCCTTGCCTTTGGGGAGGTGCCAAGTAAGAAACTGCTGCAGTTGAGGTCAAGGAGGTTGTTTCCTGCTTTCTCCTCTAGGGTTTTGATGGTTTCCTGTCTCACATTCAGGTCCTGTATCCATTTTGAGTTTATTTTTGTGTATGGTGTGAGAAAATGATCTAGTTTCATTCTTCCACATGTTGCTGTCCAGTTCTCACAACACCATCTGGTAAAGAGGCTGTCTTTTTTCCACTGGATGCTCTTTCATGCTTTGTCAAAGATTAGTTGGCCATACATTTGTGGGTCCAATTCTGAGTTCTCTATTCTATTCCATTGGTCTACGTGTCCGTCTCTATGCTAATACCATACTGTCTTGATGATGACAGCTTTGTAGTAGAGGCTAAAGTCTGGGATGGTGATGCCTCCCATTTTGGTTTTCTTCTTCAATATGACTTTGGCTATTCGGGGTCTTTTGTGGTTCCATACAAATTTTAGGATAGTTTGTTCTAGCTTTGAGAAGAATGCTGGTGCGATTTTGATTGGAATTGCATTGAATGTGTAGATTGCTTTGGGTAGTAATGACATTTTAAGAATATTTATTCTTCTGAATCATGAGCATGGAATGTTTTTCCATTTCTTTGTGTCTTTTTCAATTTCCTTCATAAGTTTTCTATAGTTTTCATCATACAGATCTCCTATATCTCTGGTTAGGTTTATTCCATAAGTATTTTATGGGTTTTTTTGTGCAGTTGTGAATGGGATCAGTTTCTGGGTTTCTCTTTCTGTTGCTTCATTATTTGTGTATAAAAATACAACCGATTTCTGTACGTTGATTTTGTATCCTGCAACTTTCCGGAATTCATGGGTCAGTTCTAGTAGGATTCTGGTGAAGTCTGTCGGGTTTTCTACTTAGAGTATCATGTCGACTGTGAAAAGTGAAAGTTTGACTTCTTCTTTGCCAATTCTGATGCCTTTTATTCCCTTTTGTTGTCTGATGGCTGATGCTAGGACCTCCAGCACTATGTTAAACAATAGTGAGAGTGGACATCCCTGTCGTGTTCCTGATTTCAGGGGGAAAGCTCTCAGTTTTTCCCATGGAGGATGATGTTAGCCGAGGGCTTCTCCTGAAAGGGTCTATGATGTTTAAGTAAGTTTCTTCTAGATGTGGTTTATCTATACCATGGAATACTACATGGCAATGAGAAACAATGAAATCTGGCCATGTGCAGCAACATGGATGGACCTTGAGGGTGTTATGCTGAACGAAATAAGTCAGGCAGAGAAGGACAAATATCATATGTTTGCACGTATAGGAGGATTAGGAGGAACTTGACGGAGGAACAAGGGGGAGAAGAAGGGCGGAAATGGTGGGGGAAAGGGAGAGAGGCAAACCATGAGAGACTCTTGAATGCTGACAAAAACTGAGGACTGATGGATGTGGGGGGGAGGGGGGGATGGGCATGAAGGAGGGCACTTTGGGGATGAGCACTGAGTGTTATGTAAAAACTAATTTGACAATAAACTATTTGTAAAAAAAAAAAAAAAGAAGGGATGCTGTATCTTGTCAAATGCTTTTTCTACATCTATTGACAGGATCATACGGTTTTTATCTTTTCTTTTGTTAATTTGATATATCACATTGATTGATTTCCGAATATTGAACCAGCCCTGTAACCCAGGCATGTATCCCACTTGATCATGGTGGATAATTCTTTTTATGTGCTGTTGCATTCGATTTGCAAGGATCTTGTTGAGGATTTTTGCATGTGTATTCCTCAAGGATATTGGCTTGTAGTTCTCTTTTTTTGGTGGGTCTATGTCTGGCTTGGGAATCAAAGTGATGCTGGCTTCGTAGAATGAGTCCGGAAGTTTTCCTTCAATTTCTATTTTTTGGAATAGCTTGAGAAGAATGGGTATTAACTCTGATTTAAATGTCTGGTATAATTCCCCAGGGAAGCCATCAGGTCTAGGGCACTTATTTGTTGGGAAATTTTTGATAACTGATTCAATTTCTTCACTAGTTGTGGGTCTGTTCCGATTTTCTATCTCTTCCTGTGTGAATTTTGGTAGTGAGTGTGTGTTTAGGAATTTGTTCATTTCTTCCAGGTTCTCCAGTTTGTTGGCATATAATTTTTCATAGTATTCCCTGATAATTGCTTGTATTTCTGAGGGACTGGTTGTAATAAGTCCATTTTCACTCATGATTTTGTCTATTTGGGTGCTCTCTCTCTTCTTTTTGAGAAGCCTGGCTAGAGGTTTGTCAATTTTTTTTTATTTTTTTCAAAAAACCAACTCTTGGTTTCATTGATCTGTTCAATTGTTTCTTGGATTTTATATTGTTTATATCTGCCCTGATTTTTATTCTTTCTCTTCTCCTACTGGGTTACAGGTGCTCCTGTTGCTCTTTCTAGTTCCTTTAGGTGCGCTGTTAGATTTTGCACTTGCGCTTTTTCTAATTTCTTGAAGTAGGCTTGGAGTGTAGTGTACTTTCCTCTTAGGACTGCCTTTGCCCCATCCCGTAGAGTTTGGATTGTTGTATTTTCATTTATTTCCATATATTTTTTAATTTCCTCTCTAATTGCCTGGTTGGCCCACTCGTTCTTTAGT